GAAATAATCATCTATGAAAAATGGGAAAGTGAATTGACTAAGCAACTACTGAACACGTCAAAAGACAAAACAAGACAAAATCAATGTAAGTCATGAATTTAATGTGAGATTTGTCATCATGATTGTTTTCTCTTACATTTACCCACTCTGGGTAGGGTCAGAGTAAGTGGAGTTTATATTTAAGATTTTCCAGGTAAACTATGACAGAGAAACAAACAGGTAGTGATGTTACTTTTGTATGCAAAGAAATAATTAGAATATAAGACACTGGAATTTAGGCTTTCTAGAGATGGAAAGTGAGGCCACATAGGGGATGAGAGAGTGAAAATGTAGTGGGATCACATATTAGTAGTTCCAGTGGATCAAATAATTGCTAAAGTTACAAGGGCTTAGAGTGAGCTATAAAGATAAGGTGTTGGTTAGAGAGCATAAGGCTTAAAATTGAGATTATAGAGCTTGTGTAGTTACTGCTAACATTAAAGCCTGGATTATTCAAGTGGTGCTACCTCAGGATCATGTCATTTAATGTTTCCTTTGTGACACTCTCCCAATTTAGCTTATTCATACTCTGAAATTTTACATTCCAAATTATTTTCATTAAAATTTTTCTGCTTCATCAGTAATTAATTCAAGTGTTCTCTGCTTTTCAAGACGGCCATAATTGTAAAAATTTTTACAATGTTTGTGTTTACCTTGTGTTACAAAAATTGTGAACATTTTTAAATGATTGTATTTACTACTGTTATTTTTAATACTATTAAATTCTGTTCTAACATCTTTATGGGTCTAATGTCTTAGTTTGATTATTTAATTTATAAACATATTTTTAATTCCAAGGGGTTTGTGAAAAGCCAATCAGATGTGGCTAGAAGTGTTTCAGGAATCATAGAACAAATACAAAATGAGGGGAAATATAAGTAAGACATTTTGGAGTGTTTCCCTTAAATGCAGAAAAGTATGTCCTACTTCCTTGACATTTCAGACAAAATTGGCATATTCAATAATCTCTTCCTCATGCGTTTTATACTAGGATCAGTGCACAGCTGGCCAGGTTAAAAGCATTTTCTTCATGCTGACTTAAAGTTCTGGTTCTAGAATTTGACTTTATCAGTACACTCAAGCATCTTTGTGTGTCAGTAAAAGAGATCTGACACATCTCTTTAAACATGTTGCCAAGATATATAAAGCTTACGAATAAGAAAACAGTTTGTCTTTACATTTGGTTTTACTTGGTTAATTGATTACTTTCTTCCACTTTTCAGGTCTTTTTTTTAAGTGGAAGATGAAATGTCAGATTAGAAGATGATGTCAAGAAAGTTATTTGAAAGATAATTATGTTAAGGAAGTTGGTATATAATAGAAAACTCAGGGCTTCCCTGATAGCTCAGTTGGTAAAGAATCCACCTGCAATGCAGGAGACCCCGATTTGATTCCTGGGTTGAGAAGATCCACTAGTGAAGGGATATGCCACCCACTCCAGTATTCTTGGGCTTTCCTGGTGGCTCAGCTGGTAAAGAATTGCCTGCAATGAGGGAGACCTGGGTTTGATCCCTGGTTGGGAAGATCCCCTGGAGAAGAGACCAGCTACCCACTCCAGTATTCTGGCCTGGAGAATTCCTTGGATTGTATAGTCCATGGGGTCACAAAGAATCAGACAACTGAGTGACTTTCACTTTCAGAAAATTCAGATTGGACCTAAAAATAAGAGTTTTTAGTGTGAGAATTAAAAGTAAAAACATTGGCCATAAAAAGTTTTATTCAAATTTCTCAAGGGCTGTCATTTAAGTTCTTTTAAAATTTTTTGTAAATATTGCCTCAAATCAATTAATTAGGTTTTATAATAGAAAATTAAAATGTGTGAAAAAATCAATACAATTTTACTTTAACAGATATTGTGATAATGAGAAAGAAAATTGACCCAATTTATTGATACTTTTCTAGACAGTCTTAATTAATATTTTTGCACCTTATTGCTTTATCTATAAAGGGATTTGCTAGATAAGCTCTAAAATTTCATAAGTTCTAAGTTTCTTTTTTCTAGGTGAAGAATTCAGTTCTTAAATACTAAGATAATCCTAAAGCCATTTGTGAGGTCCTATAATTTTATAACCAGTGATCTAAAATTGTATTAGTGGTAGAAGTAGTGATTAGCTATGAAAGAGAATAGGTCAGACTGGAAAACAACTTTTTCCTTAAGCATTTTTTTTTTGATGCTTAAATTAAAATATTTTACGCTTTTTTGGCACTTCTGCCAATGAAGACTTGTTTCTAATCTATAAAATGAAAAGACTTACTGGAGAACTGAAGGACTTTTTGTCTTCCTTTCATTAGTTTGAGCGCTGTTTGAAAGCATTCCTCCCATATCCACTCCCCACCTCTAACTTTAAGCTGTAGGCCTCACATTTTATTTCTCTGAGAAATTAGAAGCAATCAGGTGAAAATTAGCTCTTATGTTTTTTCCTATTACCAAGACAAGCAACCTAACATCTGTACCCATATATTCTACCTTTGGAATTGTTGTTTGAACCAGATTAATTGTCCCTACTGAAATGTCTTTGCTTGGACCCTGGATCCGTGAAGCATACTCAAGAGAAGTACACATTTCTCCCAATTTATGCTCAATTTCTCCCTCGTTCCTAGATCACTCCCATCAACAAAATAGCTTGATATACTAGTTTCCATGTTAAAAAATTTTGAAAGCCTAAGGCTTCTCTTCAAACTCACATCTTTTTTCTCGCAAAATAACATGTACTCCCCTTTTTTCTCTACTTGTCTTATTAGTCAAAGCTCCTGTCTTACCACCCATGACTTTCACATGTTCTTGACCACTCCACTGATATGGCACCTGTCAAGGTCACCAACCACTTCTGTCTTTCTCCACAGCATCTCGACCAGACTTATTTTTCAGGAGCTGTGGACACAGTTGGCCGTACCTTCATTCGAAAATGTCTTCTCTACACTTGGAGGCCCCAAGTTTGCCTTTCCGACTTACCTGCTGTGTCACTTCATTCTTCCTTTCTGTCTTTCCTCCTACAGTTTTTAAATATTGGAACATATTTAGTGAACCATCCTCCTTCCTCTGCTTTTCTCTGTATGTACACTTTGTCTCAATTGTTGTTCAGTCATTCAGTCATGTCTGACTGTTTGCGACCCCATGGACTACAGCACACCAGGCTTCCCTGTCCTTCACTGTCTCCCAGAGTGTGCTTAAACTCATGTCCAGTTGAGTAGGTGATGCCATCCAACCATCTCATCCTCTGTCACCCCCTTCTCCTACCTTAAATCTTTCCCAGCATCAGGGTCTTTTCCAGTGAGTCAACTCTTCTCATCAGATGGCCCACGTATTGGAGCTTCAGCTTTGGCATCAGTCCTTCTAGTGAATATTTAGGGTTGATTTACTTTAGGATTGACTGGATTGATCTCTTTGCTGTAAGGAACTCTCAAGAGTCTTCTCCAGCACTGCAGTTTGAAAGCATCAGTTCTTCAGTGCTCAGCCTTCTTTATGATCAACTCTTCATCTGTAAATGACTACTGAATAAACCACAGCTTTGACTAAACAGACCTTTGTCAGCAACGTAATGTCTCTGCTTTTGAATATGCTGTCTAGGTTTGTCATAGCTTTTCTTCCAAGGACAAAGTGTCCTTTAATTTCATGGCTGTAGTCACCCTCTGCAGTGATTTTGGAGCCCAAGAAAATAGTTTGTCACCATTGCCATTTTTTCCCCATCTATTTGCCATGAAGTGATGGGACTGGATGCTGTGATCTTTACTTTTTGAATGTTGAGTTTTAAGCTAGCTTTTTCACTCTCCTCTTTCACCATGGTTTCATATACAATTTGTATTCTGGTGACTTTTGATTTCCAGACTCAGCATCCAGCAGTACACACAGTGTCTCCACTTGGATATCCAAGAGACACCTTGCTTTTAACATGTCCAAGAGAGAACTACAGCTGATATCCAGTCCTACTCTTCTCCTTAATCTTTTCCATTAATCATTTTCCCATTGTACATGGACTAGATGCCAATCTGTCTCTTTCACTTCCCATCCTGGAAAAAAAATTCTAGCAGCTCTGCCTTCAATATGTGTTTTGAATTTGCAACTCCCATAATGTCTCTTTAACACTATAGCCAATGGTATATCAGAAGATAGATCTGAGTAAAAGTCAAGCCACAAATAAGGCCTAATAATTCCTTCTGTGTTCCAGCCCCATTTGTCTCTCTGAAGTACATGCCTCCCTCTCTCCCCTTTGCTCCTGTTACATTGGGTAGCCTGCTGTTTTTCGGGTAAATCTCAGGCCATTTGCATTTACTGTTTTCCTCTGCTGGGGATGCTGTTTGTGATCTTCCTCCAGATATATTCACAACTCCCTCCCTTACGTCTTTTAATTCTCTGGTCAGATATCCTTCTTAGGGATGGTTCTGCCCACTGTACACAATAAGGGAGCCCTCAAAGCCCCCGCTGGTCACAGTTCCCTTCTCCAGCTCCTGCTTTCTCTCTGACATCTATACAAGAAACTGTATTTTAAAAGTTTCCTGTATAGATGTTTATTCTTTTTTTTTCCTCACAGTGTAATGTCAGCCTAAAGAGGACAGATAATTTATCTGTTTTGTTCATTCCTAAGTGTTCAGGAAGTTGTTCAGTAAATATCCATGGAGTGAAAGAAAAAAAAAATTATCCCTGAATATGTGAAGGAAGACATAACAGTTTCCCTGTTTCCCATAGGGTGGAAATAAAATTTAGGAATGGAAAATTATCTATTATTAGCTGAGAATGGTAGTGAAGTCAGAATTTGAATGATAATCTCAATTCCATATTTTATGAAGAGTGAAATAGAAAAGGAAATATTTTTCCTAGTATGTAATAGATAGGACTGAGCAACTAAACAACATTGAATAATAAAAAAAAGTTGATATTACTATTGTACCCAAAATTTCAGATTGAGGAAGTATGATATATGTGATTTATGTTTCATCAAGTGTTTTATAACTGTTTTATTTAGGGCCCTAAAGGAGATCCAGGTTTTTCCCCAGGTCAAGCTCTTTCTGGAGAAAAGGTAATTATTTGTCCATGAAATAAAATCTTGTTGATATATTTCAAGCATTTAAAAATAGCTTTTACTTTTTAAAAAATATATATTTTACTTGATTTCAAAGTGTATAATAACTATTGGATTTTAATGAAGAAATATTTGAACAATCAAGTAAATGGTGTCATCAGCCTAACATATCAGTTAAAATCATATAATTAATTTTACTGAATGTCCATTCTGGCATGCTATTGTGCTTCCTGCCAACTAGGAACAGATGGGGCAAAAATTACAACAAGATGTTTTGGTCCTAACTTCAAGAATGTAGCTATTAGTATGGATGCCATTATAAATTCTAATGCCATTTTACACCGTTTTTAGAATGGTTCACGTACTTTATCCTGTTTAAGTCTCACAGTAACAGTGACAGAGGCTGTCGTCATTATTTTTTTTTCAGTTGACAAAAGAGAATTCATAGAATTTAAGTAGTTAGCAAGTGAAAGAATTAATGATATATCTTAATTTTCTAACTTTCAATACAGTATGCTTTTCATTATATTTTTCATTATAAAATAATGCTCTCAGATACACACACATATGCATTTAGGTAAAAAGAAACTAATATTTCAAAGTAACGGTAGCAACAAAAATCTTTTTTAAGAGGAAGATACTGTTTTTTGCAGTGAGAATGAATACAAGTTGAGTATTTAGGCATATATCTGGGAAGCTTTATTTAGTCATACACTTGATGAATGTGATACAATTATAGAATGTTTTTGTTTGTGTGGTATACATTCACAAACTTTTAAAATCCCTGAATAATTTTGTGGTTCCTGGGTTGTAATCTGATCTTTTAATTGGCTTATAAAAACTCTTGTAAATTTAAGAAAAATTGCCTCACATTAATGGGTATTATACTAACAAATTATAAAATTTAATCTGGAATTGTAAGAATTTCATTGCTGTGATGGGACTGAGTTCCCTGACTAAATAGATTAGAAAAGGAATGAAAGTCTATTATTAGAAACAGTGTTTTCATTCATCCCTTAATTATGAGGAAGAAAATTCTTCAATCTGAGAAATATAGGTGCCGTGTTTTAAAATATGTAAATATGAGACATTTGATTTCTTAAAATTGAGAAATTCGACATCCACTCTCTTTTGGTGAGTGCTTTAAATAATCTCCCCAGATTAAGCATTCAGATTTTATCAAATGCTTATTTTTAATCTTCGCTTGTGGCCTCTCTGTACAAAATATAGGGTGGTTCACTGTGTGTACAATTTCTGTACAAAATATAGGATGATTCAGCCTGTGAGTTGAGACTAGGGAGTATGTCAGTCTTCTTTTTTTAAGTTTTTGAGTTACACATGTACAAACTGTACTATATAGGAAAAATGTCATAAGATTTAAGACTTCATAACATGTTTTCATTAAGCTTTAAGTGAAATCCAACTTTCAAAATAAAAGATATTTCTAAAATGGTAAAATTTTTAAAATTTTCTTAGAAATCATATTTACATAAAATTAGGTCCAGTTATACTGAGGAAGCAGGATATTTATACATATACAATATAAATTCAAATAAAATATGAACATTAAATTGGTGTGAGTATAGGGGGATTGGGACCCAATTGAATTTTATCTTTAAACATTTAGCTATTTTTATAATAAATAGTCAATGATGAAACAATATAAGCAATGCAGAGTCTAGTCCTTCCGCATGTAATATCCAGTAAATAACATCTCTCATAGAGCACACATACGTATTTAATTCCTTGTGGGACCTTAGTGGCAAACAAAGATAGTTTAAATAGTGGCAACTTTTCCTTTCCCATAAGGCAAATATGATATTATTCTTACTCTCAGTTTTCAGATGGAGGAATTTTGAAGGGAAATCAACTGATCTACCCTTGATTACAGCTAGTAGGGGATGAGCCTCCAATCTTCTATTCCCTAATGTAGCTTTCTTTTCCTTCTATCAGAGTAATAAGTATAAAAAAATATATGTATAAATCCATCACGCCATAACAGATGGATGCCATATTAATAAAACATTGAACAAGAACATAAAATATTAGAACAAATGAAAAAGCACTTGATAGTTAATAATCAGAAACATTCTTTACTGTTTATTTAACTTGATGACATTAAAGTAGATAATGCAGTGAAACATCTATGTGCTATAAATAGTACATGAATAGTCATTATGGAATTTAGGATTATTAACTAAGTACTCCTTTTCTTTCAAACAATATACTTTTTTCCCACGCACAATAAATTTGTTACAGCAGAAAGAGGGAAAGGAACAGAGGTAAAGAAAAAGTGTACCTTAAGTAAACTGGTTTAAGATTTTACCCCCATTCCTTTTTGATACATTTTGTCCTTGTCATTCACACATCCTCTTCTGTGTCTCTCATTGTCACTTCTACCCACCACAGACACTCCTTGCTTCTCACTGTTGTAATTTCTCCTCCTCCTACCCTGCTCTGCAAGCCCTCATCAAATCTGGAGGAAGGGATGGAGACAGAAGGCCCTAATTTGTTGAGTCTGTGGACCAGCACAGACCTCCCCCAAATTTTCACTGCAGTTACTCTGGTTACTGCAGTGGAAGGCAGCTGGGCAGCCCTGGAAAGGGAAGTGCCCCTTTCCCTGGTCCAGAGTGTGAATCTAGTACTGCTCCCCATCCCCCAGCCGTTCACTGATGTTCCACGTGGGAGTCCCACCATCCTGTGAGTCCTCACCTAAAAAGGCAGACCTGAGCCCTCTGTAGCTGTGTTACAAAGTGCTGGTAGAATTTTTAAATAGATTTCTTTACATTTTTAAAACACTGTAAGCCTTGGAAAAGGTGGCAATTTGGGAAGTAAGGGCATTTCTAGAGAAAAGAACATCAGAGAAAAAGAAGCAGGGCCACAAGCAAGGTGAAGTACTGTCCAGGTGATCAGTACTGAAAGAAATAAGGGTTGGGAGCCTCAAGGAAGTTCTCAGAAAGCAGGTCGGACTTGAGCCCGATTGAGGAGATCAGTAAGTAAGATCTTGACAGCCAAGATGAACTCCTACAGCATGGGAATCACAATTTTCAGTTTTTTCATAATATTAAACCTCCATTTGTGTTTTGTTCTTAGGGTGATCAAGGTCTTTCTGGATTAATGGGGCCCCCTGGTATGCAAGGTGTTAAGGTAAGATGTAGTTTTATTTTGACATGTGTGGGTACCATGTGGATCTGGGAGTTCGCCAGCTCCTAAGATCTCATTCTGAAGTTGAGCCCAAAGTCAATGTTTTAAATTCCTTTTCTCAGCAATAGGAATTAGGATGCTGTCTTAATCCAGGAAAGTGGTGCCCACCAATGACAGTCTTAGGAAAATATAAGAAAACCCTTCAGATAACAAAAGGGACAAAATTCATATGCAGAAGATAGTCACTGATAGAATATTGAAGGTTTTCTCTGTTTTACAATTACATTAGGGCAGTAATCTACTTCTGAAACATTAAAGTCACTTTGTGACTTTTATTATGTCCAACATGAGGTACCCTTAGATATAGGTAAGATATTTGACTTTATCATTAAAGAGTTTCTCATTTTACTAGGAATTAATAACCTCTGCCATGATGTATATACAAATGTGAGGCGTGAAGCTTAAGTAGAGTAGAAGGGAGAGTTGGGGATAGGTAGTAAAAAATAGTAGTTATGTGCATATGAGTAAGCTTTTTCTGAAGTAAAAAGAAATAGTAACACTGGCACTATAATTATTTTTATAAAATTCAGTATGCAGTTTCATGAATTAACACAAGTATAAATTCTCTTCTATATAGTCAGCTTGACTTTTTCCCACACACTGAGTTCTTGGTTTTCTGCAGGGGATAAAGAAGATACAAAATTTCTGTCTAAGGTAGTAAAGGCCCCAAAATATTGTAGAGCAGTATTTGATTTGATGTAAATGTCTGTTGTTCAGTCGCCAAGTTGTGTCCAACCATTTGTGACCCCATGGACTTCAGCACGTCAGGTTTCCCTGTCCCTCGCCATCTCACAGAGTTTGCTCAAGTTCATGTCCATGAGTCTGTGATGCCATCCAACCATCTCATCCCCTGTTGTCCACTTCTCCTGCCTTCAGTCTTGCCCAGCATCAGGGTTTTTCCAATGAGTCTGTTGTTTGTAGCAGGTGGCCGAAGTATTAGAGTTTCAGCTTCAGCGTCAGTCTTTCCAGAGTATTCAGGGTTGATTTCCTTTAAGATTAGTTGGTTTGATCTCCTTGCTTTCCAAGGGACTCTCAAGAGTCTTCTCCAGCACCAGTTCAAAAACATCAATTCTTTGGTGCTCAGCATTTTTTATAGTCCAACTCTCACATACATGACTACTGGAAAGACCATAGCCTTGACTATATGGCAAAGTGATGTCTTTTTAACACACTATCTAGGTTTGTCATAACTTTCCTGCCAAGAAGCAATCATCTTCTAATTTCATGGCTGCAGTCACCATCTGCAGTGATTTTAGAGCCCAAAAAGAGGAAATATGTTGCTGCTTCCACCTTTTTCCCTTCTTTTTGCCATGAAGTGATGGGACCGGATGCCATTAGTTTTTTAATATTCAGTTTTAAACTGGCTTTTTAACTCTTCTCCTTCACCCTCATCAAGGGACTCTTTATTTCCTCTTTGCTTTCTCCCATTAGATTGGTATCATCTGTAGATGTCTAAATACATTTAATGTGTATTTATGTATTTAGACACCTATCATCATGTAGATCTCAAAATGTATTTAATAATGAACTGTGTTGGTGTCTTAGTGTATCATATCCTTTTCCTCTTGGGAGATTTAGATTGAAGATGGTATTCTAGCTCTGGTTAATTTGTTCAGATTCCCTCTTCCGTTTTCTAGATTTTGTTAACCTTGGGCAGGTTACTTAACCTTTCTAGGCCTTGGTTGCCTTATCCGTAAAATGTGAAAATAATACTATGTACTTCATAGGGAGTTGTTGGGAACATGAAATGGGAAAATACAGTGTCAGAAAAACAGCAAGCTGTTAATATATCTTAACCATAAGCCGTTTTTTCTGGATTTGGAAGGCATCCCGACCTCATTTGCTTCCCTCCTAAACCCTCCTAATTGTAAATTGATTAAAAGTGTTTTGATCTCTTGGAGTATCTTTCCTCCCATGACCATACCACACCATTATCATTATGGCTTTTAGACTAGACTTCATCCTAGATAGTTCTTGGAATCTGATAAGTCATTTGAGGTCGTTGGTTGCTTCCATGAAACTGCAGAGTGATCATTTCTACTAATTTAGTTTATACAGTATATACTAAATTTTAGTATAGACAACTCTTATTATACAGTTGTGAGTCTGTTTGATTAATGCTACTTAGTATGCCTCTGACTGCTAAGTAGACCCCTGAGGAAACTGTACTGATGCATAGCATTAAAAAAAATCTTATGGAAATTACCGTACTAATTTTACTTGCTGTTAAATATACAGTTATTGCATCCTGATGAATGATGTTGTATATGAGACAAAATAAACTGTTATTTTCCAAGGTTGATAATACCCGTGGTTCATGAAATTAGTATTCCAGAAAGTGAAAAACTATTGATAAAGGGTAAGTAGTTACTGTGTAGAGGAGTGTATAAAGAACTACTATATAGAGAAATTTTTAAAAGACTGATTTTAACTTTTAGAGCAGATTATCACTTTTAACTTTGAGGTTTTACTTACTTAAAGCAGAAGATACTGTCTTCCAAAGACTTATGCACATATTATGAGTCTTGGCTCATCAATATTTTAAAATATTAAGAATATGTAACTTTTGGTCTGTATAAGTCTAGTAAAGTGAGATAGTGTGAAGTTAAACAAACTGGATCATTGATTACATATCTTTCACAGACTTCTTTTCTCTTATACAGTTTGTTCAAACTTTAAAAATCAGGCTTGTAAAGTTAATTAATAGAAATACACACTGTAGAAGTTCAGTATCTTGCTATGTTATCAGTTAGCAACAAACTAAATTTTCTTTAGAGAAGGTTTAGTTGAAACTATTTAGAAACTGAATTACTTTGAGATTAATGAAACATCCATAGTTCACTATGTTTTGACAGTAGTTCTAAACAGTGTTGAAATACTTGAGATGAGTTTGTAGTTTTTCTGAGAATGCATCCCCTCTTCTCAGAGTATGTCTAATAATGAAAACTGTATATAGATTTTTAAAAAAACAACTATGCCAGGAAAGGGACATAAGGACTAAATCTAAACCTAAACTAATTCTCCACATAGCAGGCTTGGAACAAGTTTCCATCACACTTTCTATGTGCATGGCTTACTTTAATGTGAATGTGTGGTAGAAATACACCCTCAGTGAGCTTGGTAGACTGTTCTTGTGGTTTGTATGAAGTGGGAAAGGACCAGACTGAATATTGGGTAGAACGTTTAGGTAGGTTATGAGCTGTTTTATGGGATTTACTAATTTGAGTTCTTTTTTTTAACCACCTAAGTCATTCTCAGAATTACTTCCTGCAAATAGGATCCATGCTAGGAGAACCTAGAATAACAGTTCATATTTGTTATAACCCAGAACTCCTATTCCTTCATCCTTTCAGTTCTACTGCTAAAATGCCACAATAATTCTGAAGGTCAAGACAGGAACTTAAGTTATTCATTCTGTGCTAAACTTAACATAAGCCTAGAGAGGTTAATTAATTGCTCAGGGTGACTCAGAATGATAGCAGGACTGAGAGATAAAACTTACTAATACTGAATTCATTGTGCTTTTAACAGTCTATACTTATTATGAAAGATGAATAAAGTACTTGGGTTTTGATTAGTATGAAGTTTATTACATATTTTATCGAACTATTTTTGAATTATAATTATTATATAAATATTAATAGCTCCTTTATTATGTGCAATGTAGACTTATCTGCTTAATCTTCTTTTTATCTTAAAAACAACACACATTGAGACAGATACTATGTTCAGGATTCATAAAAAATTTAATTGAATTATAAAATGGTTAAGTCATTTATTCAAGGCCATATGACTATTAATTGACAGGACTCAAATCCAAGTCATGACTGTTCTCTTAATAACTTCAAATACTATTTCCCCATTAATATTATTCATTATACCAATATTGTTATATGTGTGTTTGATTACTTTTGTCTCAAGCAAAGTAATATGTTGTTTTGCTTGAAAGCCAAGGAAACAAATACAGCTTTGGGTAACAAATAATAATGAGTTAATTGTTCCTTTTCTCTGGAAGTATCTGAAAATATTTCAATCCTTCAAGTAATCTTTGAAGTGCCTGCAAGAAAATTGTGTGTAGAAATATAGACAACTCATGAAAATTTGAGTTAGAAGATTAACATAAAATCTTCTGAAAACTGGAAATAATATTGAGACAGAAATAACAAAGCAAGTAAATCAGCAGCAATTTTTCTTCACTCTACTGTAGATTATTTTGGGTTGGTTTCTGCCTTTTCTGCTTTTATCTCTCCCCCCTTGACTTTTTATAGACCAGTGTTACACCATGTTTAACAAGCAGTGTGTTTCCCCAGATTGACTGGTTATATTGCCTCAATTTAGCAACCTTAATATAACTCTTATTTTCCTAGGAACTGAAGTATGTTTTCACTTCCCGCTAAGTGTCTAGGCTTGTGCCAAAAAGCAGATAAGTTACATTGAGAGTGCATGCTGGGTTGGATGGAAGACAAGAGTCATAAATCTGAGCTTAGACTCCACATGAATTTTTAAATTGGATTTTAATATAGCTAATCAGTTGCTACATTAATATTGGAAGTCTGCTATTTAAAATTGTAAGAACATTAACAATGATTTCAATTGAAGTCATTTTTCTAGAATCAGGAGGATAAGTCAGATGGGAGCAGTTAAGTACATCTTAACATGAAGGTATAACTCAGAACAATTGTGAAATATGAGGCACATGTTTTAAAACAGATTGTTATGAATAATGTATGGCAGTATTTTTCTGAATGTCCAACAATGCTACTACTATGTTTGTAGTAATAATATAAATCAATGTGCATTCTTAGGAATTAGTTAAGTTACAAAAGATCTTTCCATTACATCTTTCCCTTTCCAAGTTGGAAAGGCTGAAAGAGCTGAAAACATCAAGTGGACTGCATTATGATTTATCAGTCAGTCAAAACCTATACAGCTTTTCATAATTA